GGGCAAGCTCCATGGCAGATATTCTTCGATCTTTGAACTCTTCTGCTCAGTGGCATAATGTGATCGCTGCTTTCACTGACCATTGCATTAAGCAACTGCCTTTCCAGCTAAAGCACACCAATATCTTCACTCTACTGGTGCTGGTTGGGTTTCCTGAGGTAAGTAGCCTGTTGATACTAAAGGAAGCAAAACTGGTTAGAGCTTTTACTTCTAAATACTGTGGACTTCATCAGTTGAGGACATCCATTATAAAGTGTCAAAACGTGGTGTATGTCAGAGTTCACATCTTCCCACTTGTGCACAATTCACGTTTATCTAATGAAGAATGATGTAGCTGTTTTTGCCTTCCATTTCTTTGCTACTTAAAACTATCAAGAGAAAGCCAGCCTAGTGCATTTGAGGATCAAGCAAAACAACCTGATCTTAGTCTTCCTCATCATAACTCTAATATATCGCCTATGTAGTATTAAGCTGGTTATTGTAGGCATTTATTTCTTTTTTTGTAGGAGTGAACTGCCATTTTCTAAAGACCAGTAAATACCTGGCAGTGAGCAGGTTGTTCAGCTAAAAAATACAATACCAAGTATAAGCAAATGTAACCAATATAAAAGGTTGACTGTATTTGCAAGTAAGTATTCCAAATTATAACTGCAACTTTTACTGCAATTTTAGGTGCTGTGTATGGGGACTCGTTCTGTCTACATGGATAATGCAAATGAGCCTCACAACGTGATCATTCTGAAGCATTTCACTGAGAAGAACAGGGCAGTTGTAGTAGACATCAAAACCCGAAAGAGAAAAACAGGTTCTGTGACATTTTTCTTTTTATCAAAGAATCGCAGAGTGTTTCCTTACAGTTTCTTATGGTTACCCAAACACATATTTTAACTAGACCACTTTGTGCAGGTCTGCAGAGTTTGAATTCCATTATTAGTAAGTCACCTGGTTTTCTGCTCGTAGGTTCAACCAAATCGTGAAGCTTCTGCAGTAAAGATCACGGAGACTTCTTTTTGTTTTTAAAACTCTGACATGTATTTTTATTCAGAAAGGATTTAGGAAGCTGTTGAGACCATTTTATTACTTGAGAAATTTCAGAAATAGGCTTTTGACTAAGCAGTTGTTTCTGGTTTGAGGTGACTGATTTGAGCAAGCAAGTGCTTGCTGCTTGTGTCTTACCCTGAATGTTTTGGGGATAGTCCATTTAGTTCTTCCAAAAATTCTCTGCATTTTTATGAAGTGCCTGTTTCCACTGTGGGCAAGATGTGCTACTAACTAGCAATTGAAGAGTAAGACCAAACTCAAACATACTTGGTTGCTCCTGAAATGGTGCTGTGTTGGCTGCCTTTTCCTGGTTTTGTAAAAAAGCATTCCATGAGGACAGGCCAACTTCTTTACTCATGTGCTTTATAAAATGTCAGGAATCTTTTCTGCTTTTCTCCTGTCTGGAAGAACTTTTTAAAACATTTAAAAAAATTTGAAACAAAAATGAAAGACAGCTACACAGCATGAAATAGAGTATACTCTAGGAAATGTGTCTGGGTAACTAACAGTAACTCATTTTAGGGCACACCAGTGTGTTGGCTAGAAAACACCAAAACCACAAAGCTAGATGCTGCTTTCTGGGTCCCTTTTGTTGTACCAGGGAGAACTTTCTTCCTGTATTTCACCTAAACATTTAGCATCTAACAAATCGGTTGGATTTCTAGGAGCAAGGGATTTCAACTTTGGTATACATGACCTAATATTGTGAAGTTAAAGCAAAGGTTGTTCTAAGATTTGACTATTGAAGTTGTTTAAAAGATGTATTTGGAAAAATGAGAGACTAAACTGCTTCTTGATATTGAAGAAATATTTGAATATAAAAGACTTTTTTGTTTTGTTTGGTTTGTTACTATTTACATCCTAACAGTAAGATTAGTAAGATTAATTTCATCATTATTAATTGCAGCTCAGTTTCGCCCATTTTAATTGTAAAATACAACCTGTGTTGGTTATATTTGCACATAAACAGTACAGCAATCAGCTATTGCAGAAGTTACCTAGGGTTTTCTTTTAACTTGCATTGAACAGTGTTTTCTTGACTGTTAGTGAAACTGGGATAATTTTAGTGCAAGACCATCATTAGAATGTACTTCATGTATGGATTGTGTTTATGTCTTGGCCTACTCATATCCACTGGTAAGAGATGATTTCACATTTTAACATTAACCTAGTGACTTTTGTTTTCTCTCACTTGTAGTGAAAGACTATCAGTTGATTCAGAAATGTGGACAAGAGGGCAGTGATTCGCAGACCCAGCTGAGACAGTACCTCCAGCACTTTGTTCTTATATCCACACACCTTCTGCAAACCAGCATGGACAGTAGCTATGCTGAGGCAGTGGAAGCAACTTGGGTCTTGTCCCTCGCTCTAAAGGGGCTTTACAGAACACTTAAGGTATCTTTTGCCTGACACATAGAATATAATAGATAAATAAAAGTTTGTATTCTACCTTGTGTACAGGAACTTGGGTATTGACTAAGCACATTGGGGAACTGTCGTGGTTTAAACCCAGCACTAATGCAAGCTCATTGCTCTCGCAGGTGGCTCCTTTTATCCCCTGTCTGTAGGGGACTGAAAATGTTACTAGGCTTTAAAAAGCATTTGTGAGTTTTGAGTTGAGAGTTGGATCACTTCCTCTGTGGGTCTAACCGTTCATGAAAGCTGAAGAAGAAGTTTTACAGGGGTAGATAACACTTTGCAGAGTGAAGCTCACTTGCTTCTTTTCTTACTCCTGAAGTGTTTGAAGAAGGGGATCTGTGGTTTTTTTGGACTGTCAAGAATAAATCAGATATACAGTAACTAGTCCATGTGTGTCATAGATGATACTCTCAGGGTATTTGAAGTGGGGATTTGTGTTCTGGGGTTTTTTTAGGGAAATGAAAGAAAGATTCCTAATGTAGTTCATCTGGGCAGGAAAGTTACCTGGGGCTGTGTGATAAGGCATTGTGATGCACTGTTCCCTTTTAACTTGCTTGTGTGTGTCTGTATGTGTAGATTCATGGCTTTAAGGAGGTTCAAGCTGCCTTTCTTCAGTCTGGTTTACTCAAGCTTCTAGTGAAGAAATGTAGCAAAGGAACTGGCTTTAGTAAGACCTGGCTTCTCAGAGACTTGGAGGTAAGAAGAGTTAAGACTGTAAAATGCCAGGCTTCACACAGTGGCATGAAAGGTGATATCAGTGCACTTCCCTTTTGTGAAGAAAGTCTCAAGAATATTTCCAATTAGTCTTAAAAAATGTTCATTTAACTGTATCACTGAATTTGCCTTCCTCTGTCCATCACAATTGTGTAGATAATAGTCTAGCTTCATTAAAGCAGGAGCTGATTTAAGTTCATTTGATTGTATTTGAAAGAAATTTCCAAGATGAGACATGAATCACTCGGGAACTTCTGCATTTCATTTAGACTGTTCTTGAAAATTTCATTCTTCAATTTAAAAAATAGTAATTAATCTTGAAGAAAACCATTACTCACTGATGTGTACAAGGTATTGCTGCAGTGCAATGTGGGGAGATCAATATACATGTAGGCATGTTCTTTCTGAATGCTTGTTAATTGCTGGGAGTGTGGTTCAACTGTTGGTGATGTTTTATCATAGGCACGAGTTGTGTGAATTCGTACTTAGGATGATAACAATGAGAATGAGAGAGAGTAAAACCCTGGAAATCCTCTGAAAAGTTGCTCCAAGGGTTTGGTTAGAAATACTGCAGAATCAGGTTTGGATTGTGGAATCTTCCCACCTTGTGACCTACTGGCCAAGAATCAACCACCCCTGACTCAAAGGTGTCCCACCTTCCTCCCCTTCGGGCAGCATTGTAGCAAATGACTGTTCTGCCTTAAGCACTAAAGTGTCTTGCCATAGCTCTGCCCACATTGCTTCTTCTGTCACAAGTTGGAGGACCAAGGAAGTGTGTAAGATGATTTTCTTCCTGTTAAGAGTACTAGTGTGTGGCTGTGCTGAAGGAGGAGAGTGTGTAGGGGCATCGGTGGCTGGTGTTCAGTCACTTCTACTCTGTACTTGTTTAAGAATCCTCAAGCCTTTGATGTACTGAAATGGTTAAGTAATCATTTTCTCAATTTTTTACACTTTTGGCTGATTACTTAAATTGTCTTTGTAGCAGCCTGGAAGGTGCAACTCATTTGTAAAGAGGGAAATAGTTTGGAGTTTGTGGTTTGGGTTTGGGTTTGGTCGGTTGGTTTTTGGTGGTGTTTTCTCTTTTTTTTTAAGTGCTGCTGCTCTTTAGAATAGCACTGTCCAAGTCTTAAAATGTTTGTATAAAATGCTGATTGCAGATACACTTATAATATCTACAGCTGTCACACCATATGCTACCTTTTCTTCTATATAGATTTTGTCAATAATGCTGTATTCCTCAAAGAAAGAGATCAGTTCCCTGGCTGAACGTGAGGATACGGAACTGGAAGAAAGGGAACAAGATCAAGATGTGGATCCACCCATTGTTAGTCCTGTGGATTTAGAGCAGAACAAACTTGATCCTCTGGAGGGTTTGGATGAAGCCACCAAAATATGCTTCTTGGTACTTAATTTTACCTCCTTTGACATTTCTTTGAATTTGCTGGTTGCATAAAGTATTTGGGAGTCTATATGGCTGTTTTTCTTGTGAATTCACAGAATATGGGTCTGATTTCAGTGTATTGTTATCTAAAGGAAATAAATTGTATCTGCAGTCATGAACACTACAAAATCATTATAAAGCTTTTTACTGAATTGCTTTTCACTTTCACTAATCAAGATATTAAGTTCCTTAATTCTCTACCTGTATGATAAATATATGGGAAAATAATATCTAGGTCATTCCTAAAGAAACTCATCTATTTTTTCCCCTGTAATGTCATCTTTTTTTTTCCTTTTTTGTCCCCTTGCTCAGATGACACATGATGCACTCAATGCACCTCTCCATATTCTTCGAGCCATGTATGAATTGCAAATGAAAAGAACAGATTCTTTTTTCCTGGAAGTTCAAAAGAGGTATGTGCAAGAATGGGTCCATCCAGCAGAAAAACAAAGTTGTTATATGTGGGTGGTAACCTAAAATCTAATACGTGCCAAATAGAAATCATTCCAAGGGCACAATTTGGTTTTCATGTATGAAAAAGGAAGGAAATAAACTCTTGCTAAGTTGTATTTATGGAAACAAGTCATCAACCTCTGAAATATGTTGCACGTTCTTTTCAGGATGGTGACTGCCATATGAAGATCTACCTATCTAGGTCGTTAAATGCTCCTAACGGAGGAAGAAGGGAGAGCTTATGTGTGGCTCGTAGTAATCAAAGCATGTCCTGGAGCCACCGTGTTCTCACAGAGATGAGCAATTTTATAACATTTAAAACCTCCAGGGAAGCCAGTTAATGTGATATGATAGAAATAGGTAGTTTAATGACTCTTTCAAAAACAGAAGGTGGAAAAATTTAATTTCCATGTAATTGCATCAATTTAGTTTGTGTTACTTTCGAAATGCATTTGCAACTGCTCTTTCTTCTTTTGCCTCTTCTAAGGTTTGATGGAGATGTAATTACAACAGATGAGAGGATCCGAACGCTGGCTCAGAAGTGGCAGCCCAGCAAGCGTTTGAGGCTGGAGGAGCAGAGTTCAAAAGCAGTAGATACAGATATGATCATCTTACCCTGTTTGGTACGTGCATCTCCAAAAAGGAGCAATTGTGAAATAATTCAGGCCATGAGTAACTTCAGTCTTGTTTAGTAACTTCAAACCTGAGGGTTTGTTTGTTTGGTTGGTTTTTTTAATATCTGAAATAATCTGTTAATATTTTATGCCAAAATGAATAAGCACGTACAAGAAGCAAGTATTTCTTCCTTAAGGAAGTAAGAGAACTTGATTCTCAGGTCAGGAGAACAAAATGCGATTGCATGCTGTAATTTCCTCTCTTTATACAAGAGAGATTGTATCTAATTACTGTAAGCTTATGCTGTGTTACTGTTTTAGCATATTGTTATCTTACAGTAATTTCAGCAGAACAAGGAAGCAATAAGTTAGTCTTGTGAAGTAGACACTGCACTTGCAAGCTTTAGGTTTGCATTCAATAGCATGGTCCCACAGCTCTGTGCTTTATTTTGGGTGCTTATTCCTTGCCATTTGGTATCACTTGTCTATCAGTTGCAGAACAAAGCTGTGAAATATCCACTCCTGGAAATTCTCCAAACTTAATTGGACAAAGCCTTAATTTTGAAGTTGTCTCAGGTTTAAGTTGAATTTGGACTAAATGATCTCCAAAGCTTCCTCCCAACTTGCTTCATTCTGTGTCAGAAATAGCATGACACTTGTTTTGCCCCTGCAGGTCAGCTTAAGATAGCACTTCTGGTTCCAATTTGAACTGCTGTTTCCGCTCGCGTGCTCTCATGAATTTATCAGCATATAGTGAAGTCTGACATAAACTGTCTTTTTGAGGAATCCTGTCCCTGTAGGTGTGTGAGAGATCACGCTTTTCTCTTCTTTGATGCTTTGCTTTTCAGTATGTAAAAGACAAATCCATTTGTAAATTCAGCTTGCAGTCTGATGGACTGGTCAGATATCCAAACATAAGGAACTAAATTGTTGAGAGCCTATTTTCAAACTTACATTTCTTTTTGCAGTCAAAACCTGCGCTCTGCGATAAAGCAACAGAAGAAACCAATCCAGTTGCCCAGAAACTGATAACCAACACGGAGAGTGATCTACAGCTTAGTTATGCCAAGCAACGTCGCACTAAGAGTTCAATACTCCTGCACAAGGAGCTGGACTCCAGAAGTAAAAAGGCTGTGAGGGACTACCTGTATCGTGTAAATGAGGCAACTGCTGTTCTTTATGCCAGGCATGTGTTGGCATCGCTGCTAGCTGAGTGGCCAGATGATGTGGCAATAAATGAGGAAATCCTAGATCTTAGTGGTCCAGCCCATATGACATACATACTGGACATGCTTATGCAGCTAGAGGAAAAGCAGTTATGGGAAAAGGTAAGCGGATTTCACTTGTGCATGTGAGCAAGCTGTGCCTACATGCCACGAGACTGACTAACAGAAATACTTGCAGTTCCTTTTTTAAACTAAATTGAAACTCCAAAAATGTAAATTAGTTCTGAAAAAGCAATTGGAATCTGTCGGTGTCTTTAATGTACTGATTTTGTTAACAGAAAATGGAAAAACTAGCTCCATGGAGACAGCTCAGTTGTGAAAGAGCTATATGGGAAAATAAATCGTATAGAGAAATTGGTCAAATAGGCAATCCATTTTGAAAGCTGCAGATCTCTGTGTGTGTATTGTGATACCTGCTACTCCACTGACGAGCTGACTGTTACCATGGTGGAAGTGATCTTGGAATTATAATAGAATGTTGTAATGAAAATGTCAGCTCAATGCTTCAACAGCAGTCGAAGCAAATGAAGTGCTGAGAATCTTCAAAGCAGGGCTTAAAAGTAAAACAGAAGGCACTGGTATGCCACCAAACCAATAGTATGCTCTCATCTGGAGTACAGCATGTGACCTGACTCCCTCGTCTCACTTAAAGTAAAATGGAAATGCAGTACAACTGGAAGAAGTCTGGAAAAGAGTGGCAGGGATTATTTTAGCCGTGGAATAACTTCAGTAGGGGAAACCAACTTGTTTTCTTCATCCTGGATCTTTGCCCCGTTTGGCATTGAGGGAGAAGGAGGAATGAAAAAGTCTGTTCCCCTGTCTCTGTAGTTTTAAAACAGTAAGCAGCATACAAAAGTTAACAGCAAGTATTATTCACTGGCCCTCCCAGTAAGAAAACAAAGGAGTGTCAGATGAAGGTAATAAGTGGCAGGTCCAAAACAAACCAAAAGAACTGGTTCTTGACAGGGTATGTCATTGAAATTGTTCCCACAGGGTGTTTATGTAGGTTCAGAAAGTATCAGGATGAACTGATAGAATAAAAATATGTTGAGGTGTATTAAATACAGAAGTCTTTGTGTCAGGCTATTCTGCAAGTGCATGGAGGCAAAGAAGGCATTCAGGGAACTATGCTACATAGTTTTATTGCTTTTTGAACTCCTTTTTCCGAAGAAATCAATCTTTTTGGCTGATGTGTAGGTGAACCTTTGGTCTGAGCTAGTATCACATTTTAGAGGAGGAGCTAGAAAACTGCAAGTGAAGAGATGTCATAGGTTACTATCATAAAGGGCCTTGAGCAGCAGGAATCCTGATTCAAAAGCACACAAAAAAAGCTCTGGAAAATTCAAAAATTCAAAAGCTCTGGAAAATAAGAGAAAGTGGAGACTCAGGTTGTCCTTAATTATCATTTAGTGTGTCCTGATACATTAAATGGCATTTATTTGTATTTTTAAAGATACAGCTCTTGCATCTAGTGCTTTCAAACACTGCAGCCACTAATACTTAGTCATTCCTTCTTGTACATGAAGTTGTACCTTTTGAAAGCTAAAACATCAGATACTCTGTTCAAATCCAAACCTGTAAGTAATAGAAGGTAAAGGTGTCTTTAGTATTTAGTTGTTTATCTTCCTTGTTTACAGCTTTAGTTTACTATTAACTACTTTATGGATAATCCTTGTTCCTAGCATTTGTGGAAAGAGATGGAGCTAATAGCTGTCACGTTTTCATCAGATAAGAACTGAAAGATCTGGAACAGTGGGCAAAGTAAAATCTTCTGCACTTACAGAAGTCTGTGACACTTGTAGACATCATCTGTGATGTCTTGTTTCTTGCTCTTCCAAAATGTTGTGTGGCTAGAAATGACTCCTGTCAGTCATCACTGTATAAGTTTGTAATAATTTTGATAGCAAATTGTATTTATATGATGTGTTGCTTCTGCACAGATTCTACAGAAGGTACTGCATGGGTGCAGCGAGAGCATGCTCGGGACAATGGCACTGACAGCTTGCCAGTTCATGGAGGAACCTGGAATGGCAGTGCAGATGCGTGAATCTAAACATCCTTATAACAACAATACCAATTTTGAGGTAAGTTAGACCTGTAGTGCAGTACAGTGCATTCACTTGGCTTGAAGAGTTCTAAAACATCACATGTTTGGAGCAGAAATCTCAATGATCCATGTGTTTACCTGCGGGACTTTGTGCTCGAAGCACCCGTGAAATATCTGATCAGTCTTGCTTTTGGAAGGGCTGCTGCCAGGTGAGTGAGGCCTTGCCCTGGGAAGAAATATGTTCAGGAAGGCATTTTTATGTAGTCCTAATTCAATCACGTGAAAAGTGCATAACTTCAGTGGTTTTACTATGCATGTGTTTGAAGCAGATCATATTCTTAAAAGGTCTCAAGGCCTTAATGAACAAATATTTCTTCCCTTTCATCCAAAGGTCCATTTCCATTGGTCTGTTACTTCCTTGTGCTGTTAGATGAAAACTAGGAGTGGAGTCTTGTTTTTCTTGTCTTTCTCATTTTAGACTATCTTCTCCTGACACAAACAGTTCTTATTTTCTTTCCTTGATATTGTTTGAAAGCCTTTTTCTCATACAGTTTAGTAATTGTTGTCTCTGGGCAGTCTTGGGATTTTTAATTTATCTGCAGCTCTGACTCTTTATCTTCCTATTGTTTAAAATGCATATAAACCTTTAGGTTGTGGCAGTGGAGATCAGTATCAGCAACAATTACCACTTCTACAAAAACCTAGCAATTAATTTTACATGCTTAACAGCTAACACAAACAATAGGCCACGCTTTACATTTGTTAAATTAGCTCTGGATAAAGTTATTAACGAGAGTTGGGGGTTTTTTTCCCCTATGGTTATGCTGTAGTATTTGTTGTTTGTATGGTGAAAGCGAAGTAGCTCTTTGGTAATATAGTATTGCAGGATGCAAAGATCATGTGTTTATTTCTCAGGATAAAGTTCACATTCCTGGTGCTATCTACCTCTCAATCAAATTTGACTCTCAGTGTAATACAGAAGAGGGCTGTGATGAGTTGCTCATGTCCAGCAGCAGTGATTTCCAGCAGGATCGGCACAGCTTCAGTGGGTCTCCACAGAAGTGGAATGATTTTGAGCTTCCAGGTGAATATGCTGTGTTTGAAAGTGCAGACGTATAGGATATTGGTGGTGTTTGGGACTCTCAAGAGAAACTAATGACAGTTTTATGTGGATGTTCCTGAGTTGTGTGGGGAGGAAAGACAATCCTTTTCTTGTCCCAGCCTGTTTGCTCTGACGTGCTGCTCTTGCATTTGTTTCTTGAAAGTAGGCTTATCTGCTGTTCTGCTGCTTGACCTTTTTTTTCCACCCCTCGGTCAAAGCATGCACTCAGTGACTGGAAACAAGTTTTGATCTTGATTCTGTTCCAACACAGTCCTTGTTCTGCACAACATTCACTTACATTGTTCCTGCCTTGTCTTGCTTTCCACAGGAAGCACATTTAAAAAACCCCAAAAGATAGGCTTATCTCTTCTCTCTGCTACATGAGTGCTCAGATAAAGAGTGTGTGCCTGTGCCTTGTCTCCAGTTGTTGCCACAGAGTACAACTGAAAGAAATCGCTCAGTTGAGTGACAACTTCAGTCTATGTTCTCTTCTAAGCATGTTTTTGATAACACAGTAGCAAACGCTGGTGAGCTGAAGGATGATCTTTAAGTTGTTTTAACCCACTGAGCACCATGGCATTGCAGGAAGCTTTTGACTTCGAGTGCTGTCAGTGGCTGGAAATAGATGTAAGAGCTCTCTTAGCAAAGCAGTTTGGGTTACAAGGTGCTAGTTAGAAACAAATGGGTACCCTGCAGAAATATTTTGGATTTTTTATGAACTTCTTTCTGTCCATTTCCTCTGAAATAGTTGCAGAGGTTTGCCAATAAACTGAACTTGGAGGCCCATTGTTTTGGAGCAGCCTTGGCTGTGAAACCTGAGTTACACCTCTTGATTCCAAGAGCCTTCTTGATTCAGCAGGCTTTAGCTGAAACCAGGCATTTGAAGGCTTTTCATTTGATGGCAGGGCTTTTTCAAGACTCTTAGGAATAGGAGAGACCAATGACTCCATTTTGTGATGAAAAAGGGAAGAAGCTTTTAGACTTTTAGGAGGTTTTTTCGACCCTAAAAAATGTTTTCAGAATGTTTCTTCATGAAACTGCAAATTCTGCTTCCCAATGAAAACTATAGCATGCTTGTCCCAGGCTGACAGGATTTTCCATGGAACAGAAGGAAATTCTCAGTTTTAACCAGATCTAGTATTGCAGAACACGACAGGTAAGGACATGTTTTGTTCAGCGTTACAGCTAACCACCAGCGTTTGTCTCCAAGAAGCTGGAGATGCTACAATGACAAGAACTTCTTGAATGTTCCAGTTCCTACTGCAGAATGGTCAAACATTGTGATAGCTCTTCCACTTTTAACCATAACCACTTAATGATTTTGTTCCGTAGAGTAGAAGTGTGCCATTTAACTCTCTGACATGTAAAAGCAGTGCAGCTTTGCTTTCTCTGGGTTTTAACCTTTTGTTTAATAGGCTGTGCATTTGGCTGCCTGTGTAGAGGTTCTTTTTTCATAAATCATAACTGATCCATAACCAGTTGGAAAAGGGAAGTTTAACTGTGTCCAGTACAGAGGTTCTTTAACTCCTTCTTCCATCTAGCTGACAAAAATGTAAGAGATATTATCCTTGTATCTTTACACAGTGAAACCATTCTGTGTTTTGCTTCAGCCTCCTGCTTATCATACTGTTCTGTGCATTTCAGAATTAACAAAAAGCAAAAGATTACATCTCTTGAATGGTGATATCTAGGTTTAATCTATGATAGGCTTTTCATTTGAATTGTATTTGTGGTAGCAAAACTAACTCAGAAGGTAGTAACGTGGATTTTCTTCCTCCCCTTGTACACAGGTGACACACTCTATTACAGATTTACTTCTGACATGAGTAATACTGAGTGGGGTTATAAGTTTACAGTGACAGCAGGTCATCTTGGAAGGTTTCAGACAGGTAAGCACTGCTCAGAATGTGTTGGGAAGGACTTTCTGGAGTTATTTTGCCAAGCTTTGACAGGCTTGTGGTTATCCCCTTTTTTGAGTTAGAATTTGCTTTCCCATTTTGGAAATAATGTGCTTAGTTTTGTTCAAGTTGATTCTTGACTCTTGTCTCTTGTCTCTTACTTGCTGTGACTTTGTTAGAAATACCAAATCTTCACAGAGATGTGGAGACACTTATAGTAATGTTATTTGCATTCGAAGTTTCATTATATTAGTAATTACACACAGGATTTAGTAACCACTCTTAAGGTACCATAATTGGGAACAAAAATAATTGTAATTGTATCTTTAAAAATAGTTATCCATTAAAATAAGCTGGTTCTGGATCTAATTTCTCAGTATGGCATGAAAGGGTTTGTTAGTTTGTATTAAAGTTTAAATATTTGTAGTGAAATTGAGGCTGGTGGATGACTGCAATCAGCAGAAGTCTACTGCATAGTGAGGACCTCTGTTTAATTTGCCTTACTTGGGCAAACTTCAATTTCACATAGGTTTCTTTCTCATTTTGATCTAAATTTTGCCCCAGAAAAGACTCGTGATCTTGAGATGTAATGCAGACTTACCTCAGGTTTTTGCTTGGTATTATAATTTGGTATTTCTTGCTTGCCAGATCAGTATTTAGTATACGGAGAAGAGAGAACTGACTATATGAACAGAATGGGTCCCTACAAAAGTAACAGCTGTTTGAATTTTACTTTATTTTTCTTCTTCAGGGTTTGAAATTCTAAAGCAGATGCTGTCTGAGGAGAGGGTCGTTCCTCACCTCCCACTGGCCAAAATCTGGGAATGGCAGGTTGGGGTAGCATGCCGTCAGACCGGCCACCAGCGTTTGAAGGCTATCCATTTGCTCTTGAAGATAGTGCAGTGCAGTGCCCAGAGGTGAGTGGACTGTTCTGTGGTGTACACTAAAAGAAAAAGAGCAGGAGAAGGAAAAAGTGACTAGGCTGATACTATTTTTGAAGGCAGAAACCCATGATCTGAAGTAGATAATTTGCCTTTCGGATACAATTCACAGTGCCTGATAGCAGATACTTATTATAAGGGGTTATTTTGAAACCATTCTCTTTACTTTTTTTTGTTTTTCTAAAAAGGTCCAATGAACTCAAATGTTGTTTTAAAGGAAAACAAGTCACCCCAAAACAGGACAAAAAAGAGGTTTCAGTTAATTTTCTAGAAATTTATTCTCTTTGTATTAGTCGTGCTTCAGAATTAAGGTGAGAATGGAATAATAAACTGGTGAAATGATGATCTGATTCTCTATAAAGTAAATAACCTTTAAATTACTATTTTCAGTTGTACCACTACGCTCCCAATTGAGTTTTAGAAAGGGTAGGTGTACTAATGCTTATGTATGTATGGCATGGATATTCCTTGTGAAAATACATTCAGAACAATGTTGAGCTCTTAGAGTGTTTTGCAGATGTTCATAGTCACATTAACTCAACAGAAATACTGGAAACAGACAACAGTGCTGGAACACTGACACTTACCTGGTTATATCCTTTCAGTTCAGAATAAGCCAAATCATTAAAATAACAGCATCCTACTAGCTTGCTTTGATAACGAGAAGTGAAAAAGTATATTCACATACTGTGATAAAAATGGACAATTACATAAAACCACTTGGCTCTCTGCAAACTTTAGATACACTGGTCTGCATCCAAGTCTGAAAACCTGACTTTGGGATTTTAATCATGGATTTATTAGTTTTTTCGAGTTCCCTTAGGTTTTTTTCATCAGCAAATGTCTGCTTTGTCATGTGGACAACAAATTTAATTGCTGAAAGGTCAAGTCTCCATTGTGCTTGTATTATTTAATATTTTTCTTGTGTTAATCTGATGATACATTCTGAAATTGAGTTTCCCCTTCCCCCCTCTCCCCCCCTTACTGAATGATACTTGTCATCCTATCTGTATGTATGGTAAGTGACATTTGGGTTAGTTGGCTTTAACTCAGGAGTAGGAAGGATGCAGGGTTGGAATTGTTTTTAAAGCTATAGATCAGTTTGTCTGCCCTATACAAGGGCATCACCTGCTCAGTGCTGTAGTGCAGTATTGGATAATTTCAACTAGTGGAGCTAGAGCATTTAGCCAAGTGATGTATATAGTTACTTTAAAGTCCTCATTTCAGGAGGCCACTTAGTTTTACAAAAGTCATTTGGACATGTTCATAGGTAAGAGGTTTTCTCCACTTCACTGATTCAGCATGAAATTCATTGTGCTGAAACATCTGACTGAATTCTAAATTTTAGAATAATTCTTGTGTTTCTTCCTTCATTTATACACCTGTTAAAACTGTATGGTTTCGTTCTCTTAAATTTGTTTGGGTTTTGTTTCGGGGGTTTTTTCCATCCCAGAAGCAGGTGTAAGGTCATGGTTACTCACTATTTCATTTGAATTATCTTTTTTTCAGGGACTGTGACCTTACCTTGTTGAAGCCACTTTGGCAGCTTTTCACCCACATGGAAAACAACTTGTGTCATGACATGGCCAAGCCTGGGATTCTTCTTCCTCTTCATCGTGCACTTGCAGAACTCTTCTTTGTTACAGAAAACAGAGTTACTGTAAGCAGTTCCTGTATTTGTATTCCTCCTCTCCCGAGTGCCTGGAATGATACATAGTTCAGAGCTTTAGAACCATTAAATGCTTCAGAAGCATTGAAAACTTTCTCTTGTGGAGTCTGGTAGCAAATTCTAACAGAGGGGCATACTGTTGCCATATCCATTGTGGAATCTTAAATGATAGTCATGACTCTTCCTTATGCACTTAAGGCAGCAAGCCCTAAAGCCACTCTTTATTCTGAGAGGAATGCTGGTTTAATAATTAACTTAAAGGTATTTATATGTGGTTTTCCTTGAGTTGGTTTTGCAGATTACATATGAACAGTCTGTAATGAACTGATTTCTGTGGTCACAAATGGTGTTCTAGTCAGGGAGAGTCTTATGTGTAGTTCTGTTACCTTCAGTTCATGACAACTACTGTAATGATCAGCATTTTAATGTTAATTAGTAGGATATCTTTAGTAGAAGTGTTGGTGTTCATTGAGTGCTTTCTGGCTGCAGGAGCTTGGATCTCTACAGGAGTATTTGCTTGCCTTAAATACTGAAGATCATCTTCATCGCTGCACAGCACAGGTAATAAGATTGCACAACCCTAGTGATGTTTGGTTCTGTGATATCTTTCTGGCAGGCAGAGATAATGAATGATTTCTGACTGCCCAGTGGAGTTGTATAAAGTAGAAATGAACGTACTCGAGCTTTACAATACCATGAAAGGCCTCTGAAATACGTGAATGAACTATGCACAAATGTTCTCCTTTAGTAGTCAGCTGATGTGCCACGAACTGGCTGTTGGGTGTGATCAGATGTATCTGTTTTACCAAACTGACCTCTCAACTGCCAAAACGTGGAAATGGGGATGGGGGCTGGTCTTTCAGCAACTGGAAATGCAGTTGCCTTGCTGGAACTTCCTGGATGTGTGGCAATTGTTGCACTACCAGGAGAGGACCAGCTAGAAACAGGATGGTTATTTATCTATTTCTGTTTAATTTCATACAATAATTTCTTTCATTTTGGATTGAGGAGAATCTTTGACATGACTTTGTTTTTTCCTTCTCTCTTTTAGGCCCTGAAAAACATTGCTGCTATCAGCCTTGCCATTAACTATCCAAACAAATCAACAAGTTTCTGGAATGTTTAATACTGGCTCCGGCCGGAGTGCATGGGATAGAGTAGTTTGTCCATAGGACATTGGAACGAACATCTTAACTCCGTTCAGGAAAAGTTCCTTCAGCTTCAGTGTATGAGCACTCTGCAGCCTGCCTACCTTCCTTCCTTCCTTCCTTCCCTCCTTCCACCTTGATGTAGAATTTGTAAAAGTAAAAGCGCACTTCAATGAAAAAGCACATCTTGAAGTAACTCACGCGTCGCCTACAGTTATGTATGCACATATTGTAGCATGTTAGAGTAAACTGAACAATACTTTTCTTATTCAGAGGAAGTAAATGGAAGAAGGTAGCTGAGAATGGAAGGCCCCTGCACTGGTATCATCTGCTCCCTGGGAAACTTGATTGATGGAACCTGACAGCTTTGAAAATAACTCGGAGTGATGCCATCAGCAGCATCTATTGTATGTAATTGAAGTGAGATAGGCAAACCAGGATCTGGTGGGCTGATGCAGAAATGGTCCACACTTGAATCCTGTCATGTTTGCTTTTGCTTTGAAGGCTACTACCCAAGAAAAAGGACTTTAATTCTCGCTAAACTACAGGTTGTAAAACAAATTCTGGGTGATTCACATAGCAGTTAAAGGATTCTACTTTCAGAGCATCCTTGTGCAAGAAGTTTGTTTCTCATGTTCTTTGATTTGATCAGCTGGATCATCTGTTCTTACCTTAACTTATCTCCAGTGTGGTGTTCTAAGTAGTACATCATTCTAGTGTGGAGAGCAAAGGCTGGCCTCCATTCACAAAGCAGTGGTAACATGAAGAACTGAGGAACTTACATGTTTCTCAAAGATCACATCTTTACAAGAAATTATTCACAAAGCTTTTTTCTTCTAATTACTTCAATTATAGTGGCTTAGGAGGTCCTCCTTGGCAATGTTGGGAACCCAGACACCCAGCACTCAGGGAGGGGGTTAATGATCAATTGAGTCTTACCATATAGAGCAATAACTGCATTACTCTTAGTGAACATGGAATCAATTGCAGACCTTCTATGCTGAAATAAATTGGCTTTCTTCCTGCTCAACTATGCTGGTTATTCCCTTTCCAGAGATTTATAAAGAACACAAAAGCATTTGGGGGTGCATTTTGTATACCATTAGACAGTATGGTCTTGTCAGGTATGAATTCAGAGAAATTTATGCTAATTATTTTCTTCCTCCCTTCATCAACATCAGGATATGAAAGAGAGGGACCCAAAAGCTTCAGTAATAACTGAATGCAAGTTGTGTAAAGGCAGTGGCTCTATCAGAAAGGAATATGCTTGCCCAAGGACCTTCCTTGTCCAAAAGGGGAGTGGTGCCTAAATATCAATGTGCAATGTGCGCGAGCACTGCATTGGGGGATGACCTCTGAATTGATGGTCTTATCAGCTGGGGCTGAATTTTAAAGGTGGTCCAATCTTCCCCTGAGAGGGAAATGTGCAGTAATATATCCCCTTTTTTTGGATGGCTTCTTGTGCTGTAGTTAAAGATGATTTGTATTCTGTTCAGCCGGGTGAGTGCAAAACAAATTCAGACCAGCTTGAATCAGAATGTGGTTATTCTGCCTGAAAGACTTAAAACTGAAGACCAAGCAGCACAATGCTGAAGTCATGGCCCTCTTAGCAAATGAGGATGCCAGAATTCAGGGAAAATGTCCTGGTTACCGAAGTCTGAAAGGAGGCAGAGAGATACTGCTCTGAACCCCCTCCTCGAGTATACTTGAAGGTTAAAGCCCTCCTTCCTTCCTGAATGAGATCACAATGGGAAGGGAATTATCAGAGTTGAGGCATATCTTTAACACATGGATCACTTTGTTCCCACATCTGAGTAATGTACTGGAGTTTGCAATCTCACTGCAGGGGTGTCTGAGAGATCCCTGTGGAACGACTGTTCCACACTTCCTAATAGCATGAGCAGATTCTGGGATAGGGGAGTTGCTCCACCAAAATGAGATGTTCTTAAGTCTCCTTTAGGGAGTTGTATCGATGGGCAGGTGAGCATTTTGAATTTGCTCTTCTGGAGCAGTAGGACTTTCCTGTTCACTGCCTCAGTGTGAATCCATGGCTAAGTGGTCAAGGATATGCAACGGGCTGACTTGCTAAGGCATGTAGCATGCTGCCGAGATCTGCCTGTGTTAGTCAAAGAAGGCTTTTTTCTTTTTTCACATCAGGGATGAAGACTGTAAATAAACCCTTCCCAGAACCTCTCATGGCTTTAGCATAGTCACTTTTTTTTCCCCATTGGACTGTCTTTTTGCTTTCTGTATGAAGCCATGAGGCTGCGAGGATGACACAGGAGTGGCCAGTGTTCCTTACTTAGGTGTACCACTTAACTTACTCTACCAGCAGTAACTGGCCCCATGAGTCAGTCACCTTGCCCTGAAGGGACTGTGTAGGAACAGTGTCCACTAACTATAATTTCTACCCACTAGATGGAACTGAAGGACTGTGACCTGAGTTGACACCGAATCTGTTGCTGCCTTACAACTCAATCATTCATTATGGATTTTTTAAGAGACAAGAAACACTGATTATTAATTATTTTTTTTTTTCCTTCTGGTAGTTATAAAGAAAGAGGAAGTGAATACCAGTAATGAATATTCATGATCAATCACATTTTGAAAATCCTGCAGCAGTTCCAAGTGGATGTGGATGATACTATTGAGTAGTATAAAACTGTCTGGAAAAAACAGGTATGCAGAAAAAAATGTGCCTAATATAACAAAAACAAAAGTTGTCCTGCCTGAATCACCTGATGATGTGTTGAAATCAAACCATATTGTTCCTAATGATACATTTGACTTGCTTTCATTAAACACTTGCAAAAGAGAGTTTTATAATTTCTTTTCTTACGGGTTTACTACTTTGCAATTTTTATCAGTTGTTTAAAATATATCAGGCCTTTAGATTTATTCCAGTTCAGTTCAACATGTAAAAAGAAAGCTACAGATGTGGGTAAAATATGCAAATGAAGAGAAATATATTGTAAAAATTCTATAAAAACAAAAACGTACAACACAGTGTCTGGTTTCCTGTTTGCTTTTTTCCTCTCCTCACTGGATAGTAAATGCTTGGATTTGCAGGGAGATCCAGGGGGTTCCCGAGGCGTCTTCAATTTCAGTGCCTGTAAGCAAAACTTTCCTCGTGCAGTCAGTATATATCTGATACTGCATTGAAATACATATGATACGTGCTTCTGGAGTCATCTCTTAAATTCCAGCCCTGCTGCATACATTCCAGTGGCCTTATCCTAAAAATGAAGGTTTCCCATGGATATACACTGGTTTCAGTGCCTGCATTTACTTTCGCATCTGAAACACGCATCGAGGGCCCCAGATGTCTCATGTAAAGCTGAGATTTGTCTTGGTATCTCATCTCTTGATTCTATCTAGCAGTGTTTATCAGTGGAGGTGCTTGTGCCTACCTAGTCTAATAGCTCAGTGTAGAAGCTTATTTACCTTGGGTTTGGCTCGAGGAAAGGGGTTATTCAGGGAAGTGTGAGCAAGTTGACGTCTTTCTGTATTTACCTACAGCTGTAAGTTGTTTCCACGGGTTCCACCTGCTGAGGGAATGGTTCATCAGGTAATTTTATTAAATACAAATAGTATGATTGCAAAGCTGTGGGAGAGTGGGGAGCATTCCCTCAGACAGACACGTTTGAGGCTTCAGCACAGTGGTAAATCCAACACGTTCAGTTTAATCTGCTGTTAAATTTAGGGTGGTCCCAGCACTGGAATATAAGGGAGGTGGCAACCATAATGCTTGTGAGCCACTGTTTTGCAGAACAAGTTAATTAAAAATGTTTTTCTTCCAAGAGATCCAAATTAGGCTGCAAAGTACCATTAGGTCAAGACCTGCCCTTTTTTCATCTTAAACCTGCAGTGACTATCTGCAAATCCATGAAGGTACCCTCCTATAAAATATGGGCACATCAGAGCAGAGCAAGGCTCTGCTAATCTGATTCAGTACTTTCTCTTTTTAATGATGAATGTGGTTTTTTGCAACCAGAAGTGAGTCACGTTGGATATCAGCTGGGGAAACCACCAGCACAAGCAGCCTACCCTATTTCCAGGGGCCAAACAACAGCCACAACCATGGGAGCCTATGAAAAGCATGACCTGGTCTTCAGGTAAAGCTACTAGAATGTTGGAAAACAAATTAATGTATGTAGATGGGACACTTTTCAACACTTCAGGAGATCGGGCTGGATAATAACAAAGAATGTGCATTGGTAAAATGGCCTGGAAAAACAGGAACTGTGCTGGGCTTTGTATGGGAAACAGCAATCTGGCCCACCTCTGAATTTCAATCAAAGAAGTCAATTCCGATTCAAGTGAATAAGAGAGAAATCCACTGTGAATAGGGAAGGAATTAAGTAAGAGGTAAAGGAAGTAAGATTAAAGCTCATTCTTTCCATGAGGGTTAGGTCTAATTGAATTCTGCAGTAATCTTGCCTGATTTTTACCTCATAAATAATAATCATAAAAAAATAAGAAGTTGGTACCCAGTTCAAGCCCAGGCTGCAACATTGTGGTGGGGCTCATAAATGAGTATGCAGTCTAAGGAGGAATAAACCCTTTAAAGCACACACACACCAAACCCTTATCTTCTCCAACTGGAAACATCAACAAGCATTGCTGATAAATAGATGGAAATCTCAGTTTTGGAGTGGTCCTTAGCACTGAGAGAGTCATTCTTTTTATATTCAAGGGCTGAGAATGTTTGTTTAGATTTAGGGAACACGGGGAGAAGAAGTGGAGAAAGAAAAACTGGACTGTCTTGGAGACAGATCTTTCCACCTGAGTGGTAAGGAGTTTGCTAGGGAGCTTCTCCTTACAAATGCTTTTCTGATGATTTTAATTGGTTTTATTCTCTTCTTCTAAAGCTGGTTTCTTGCTTCCATTCCCCACTTCACTGTCTGACTTTCCATAAATATTACTGCTTTTTTTTTTTTTTTTTGTTGTTAACATTTGCAGTGCAAATAACAAATAT